ATATATATATATAACAGTTATAATTAGAGGATTATAATTATATAATAATAATAATAATAATAATAATAATAATAATAATAACTTAATTATACTTATATTTCGTGATTTTATATTATTTAAAACTCAAATGCTTGAAATAAGGAAATGCTTTACGAAGGCTGTCAAAATCTACACATTTCCGAAAAAACTAAATTAGCACTTGATGACACACCGGATAGGAATTTGATGTTTCAATATCTCAGGTTAACCAGCACTAGTCTGAAGGTCTGGACGAAGCTGATAAGGTCCAGCGGGCACTCGCTATGCTGGGGCAGCAATAGTGCAGTCAAGTGTGAAGAAGTCTGCAAGCAGAAGGCAAGGTGTAGATAACAAAATAACGGAATAGAAGCAGGAGCGGAGAGATAATTACGTCGTGTCGTGGGCGGCGCAGGCGACGTCGTTGGCGGCGGGGGCGGGGGGGCGGCGACTTCGCCGCCTGCGCCGACGGCGACGGCACTTCACTGCTTCGCTCGGACAATCGCACTCAGCTGTGCAATCCTGGAAATTAGGCGGAATGCGACCTTTTGATCAAGTCTCCCCTCGCCGTGAGCGCGTGCTCGAGTGAGCCGGGACCCCAACGCGCCCGAGCCTCCCTCGTTTGATCCGTTCGGGCCCACTGAGCCTCATGTTCGCAGCGTCCCGACCGTCCCCATGACCCTTTAGGGCACAACGCGCCCTTCCATTGGGATGAAGGTGTCTCGCCAAGAATCGCTGACGAATGGAATTTGGATAGGACCTCCAAAACGTAAAACTGCGAACGCGGGTTACCAAGAACCGTGACGTGCCGATGGGAATCTACCTCCGCTGGGTCGTGGCCACAAGCGCTCGTCTTCGCCGCCGTGTGCAACGGAGCAACTAAGACTGCACGTGGCGTGAACGTGTTGGATAGAGCGAGTCAAAACGCATTCTATCGTCGATCGTTCTCGCTGGCTCGCTCTCGCAGAGGCCGGCGTCTCCTGCGCACTCTGAGGCCGGGGAGGTGAACCGCTCGCCCTCGGGAGCAGTGCAGAGTAACGACCTCTTTGTTCTGTGGATCGTCGGGGGGAGAGGGGTGCTCGAACGCAGTTGCTTGGTAAGTTCGCATATTTCGCGTTCGACAAGTACGGTGGTCATTTTAATAATTTAAGAAATTTACAATAAAATTTGAATTAACATATAATAAACTAGTGATGTAACAAAACACATACTTTCTCCTATTATTTGTAATGGTATCTCAAAATAACCCGAAAAATTACGCCACATTTTCAAAAAACCTAACATTTTTTTTAAAGATTTGATTTTCAGTAAATTATTTTATTACACTCTTTTCTTTCAATATTATAACAATACTCTCTTCTTTCAATATTATAATTGGGGGAACAGAGAAAAAATTACTTTTGCAAATAATTATTATTGAAAATATAGTGTTCAACGATAATGCTACTTGAACCTTTTAAATAAACCTACTTTGGTCAATTCGATAAAAAACTAAAGAAAACATTTGGGGCCGTTTTTTTTTAAAACAAATTGTTGACGTATGTTTTGAAAATTGTCTTTATTTCACTAAAAAACGAAGCGACCAAGCTGCCTAGCTAACCGTGTCGCCGTCCGGCCTCCCCCTTAGCGGCAGCTGTTTTATGTTGTGTTCAATAAAAGTGTGTCTACGAACTGCCTTCGTTTTCATTTTCAAATACCCAACAGAAGTACCCCCAAATATCAAAATATATTTGAAATTAGCAGGCCCGCGAGTTCGTCCAGATTGATCGTAGATTATCAGTTTTGGAGAAAATTGTCTAAACTCTTTAGGCGCTGTTGTGGACGGACGGGCGGAGTCGTTTTGCCGTTAATCAATCCTCGGTATCAAGGAACCAACCACAAAACGTGGGTTCTCACTACTCAACGAGCCACAAATGCCCTGAAGAATTATTCCCTTTTTCGGTATCAGGAACTGAACAATTTGAATTTTATGTTGAAAAAATTAATTTTATTGAAGATGTACGAATATAATAGTTTGTGTAGTACAAATTATAAGAAATATTTTCCAAAACACATGTTTTATTTTTATCAATAATCCTCAAATACTTTAATAAATCTAATTTTCAGTAGCTGAAAACATCATAAAGCATTGTGAACAAATGGTACGTGAGGCAATAAAACTTGGAGCTCAGTTATCAAATCAGCACCCTAATTAAATATAGATGCATAAATTTACAGAAATGTTTGCTGCGCACACAGCATTTGCGGCCCTGCGAGTGACAGGGTGCCAGGCAGTTCGCGAGTGGTGGCCCGCGGCATTGCCTGCCAGGCAACCTAACCTAACCAGTGGTTCCGGGAGGCGCCGCTAGGGGCAGGCCAGTAAGCAGCGGCTTAACCTCGCGAGGACAGCTCGAGGGACACACACAGAGCTGGCCGAGGGGCGAGGACCCCAGCTGATGTGGCGATGTTCAGCTGCCCCGACTCGACTTGTTAGGCAACGCTGACCAGTGCGTTCCCTGGCTGCCGCTAACATCGCTTGTTAGGTTCTTTGGTACATGATTTAATGATATTTGGTTGTCTACTGTATTTATAAGAACAATAAATAGGTGTTTGTTAGGATCTGTTATTCCTGGATTACCTGCCACCTGATTCCTGGATATGTAACTTTTAATAAACCTTAAATTTCTTAGTCAATGCTATCGCTTCAATAAAATAACACCAAAAGATACCTTAGGTAGAATATAAACGATTTGCCCGTTCTGAACACAAATTGGGTCGCTGATTATGGCTGATTTAGCTGGATTTTTGTTATAGCTGGAGGTCTTCTTGCACCGTAGAGAACTCTTGATTCCTGGCAACGAATTGATACCCTTTACTCCCCCTGGCAACGCTACTTTGTTGCTGTCCTGTCAAGGATATATATATATATATATATATATATATATATATATATATATATATTAGAAAAAATGCAGTATTCCATAAAGTTTATTCGGCATATAATATTCCTGGAAGATAACATCAAATACACTGAAAAACAAATTTTGAAAATATACGGATATCTTGATATCTAGCACTTGTTCTAGGATAAGTGAAACGTATGATTCAAAACATCTATCTATTTGTCTTTCATATCTCTGTCTCTACCACAGACTGTTTTGTTAGATATACTCCTTCAACCATTTATATTTCACTCGAAAAACTTTTGTTATATGGAGTACTAATGAACGTGGAACTAGCTAAGACATTACTGAGATTGAATTACATTACACACATACTACATAGTAATACAGGATGTTTCAAAAAGGACTTCATACGTTTGAATGCTGGTACAAAATCATTCAAACTACCCAGAGACCTAGTCTTGGGTAGTACCTCTTTACCCAATGTTACGCTCATTTATTGAACTTAGTGCTACGTCAATGGTTATAATGAAACAAAAGGTTCAAGATATTCTATAGTGGTCTTAAATCACTCCCTGCATTTTTTTCTCATTCTCCAAAGAGGTCGCAAGTACTTTCTGCCTTCGTGTCCAGAAAGTTACCATTATTAGCTCCAGATATATATCGCCTTTTAGTCTTGTGCATACGGTTAATGACAACAGAGAGAGAATAATCATATTTTCCTAACAGAGAGAAAGTTTGACTGCATTGACTTCTATAGCAGTTATTGCTTTCCTGAAGGATCCTGAAAACATATTTTCGACATCAAGTTTGATTTGTTTTTCTGATATATTAATTTCTATCCTTCCGTCTAAAGATGTTGATTGCTGCAATAAAGTGACTGAATTTCAACAATAGCTCTGAAAAGAAAAGGAGAATTTAACATCACTATGGAATTTTGTTTATAGTGTGGTAGAACAAGAAAAGGTGGCAGAACAAAAACGAAGGTGGCAAATCATTGAATCACTGAAAGATCACTGCAGGAAACTGTACTTTGAAATCATTGAATCATATTACCAATGATAACACACAGATTTGCATAATTTCAACTACTCACAACATTTATAGCAAAGGAATCCCCAAATCTTTGCAAATTTGCATATACCTTTACCATTAACCATATATTAGTTCATTGCCCAAATTTGAATTATTTAAGAAAAAAAAATACAATCTTACTAACAACACACAAACACTTTTTAAATGATACAAGAATGTATATAATGTGATCCATTTCCTTGATGAACTCACCTCATAAATGCCTGTAAACTACTAGAAACAACTTGTCAAGTTAAATACTAGGTATCTAAAATCTACCATTACTCTTAAGATCTTATTAATGTAATAAATTTGTACATTCTGCTAAATTTGTATTATAAATTTTTGTGTTCAATTCTGTAATAATTGTACTTATTGTATGTGTTTCATACCAATTGTAAATAATTATTTGCTTCAAATATTGTTAATACTTTGTAAAAACAAGGGGTCGCTCAATGACCATGCAGTTTATGCGACCAGAATAAATAAAGCAAAAAAAAAAAAAAAGAAGAATGAACTAGAAAGAATAACTGAAATGAAGATGCCAATTTTGAAATTTAATTTTTAACACGACAGCCGAGAAAATGGGATATATAATATATTATATATATATAATATATATAATATATATATATATAATAATAATAGTATATATATTGCAATCATCAGCCACTAAAATGTATGGCAAACACAAGAATTAAACTAGAAACTAAAAGATTCAGAGCCTGTGGACAATAAACAGACATTGTGGAAACATTGCTTTTTGAAGAATCTGAATAAAGATAAAAAATGTGAAAGTTTTCTCACATTTGTGAATTAGGCTAAAGAAAAAAGAGGATAAGATATTTATTTAATGATTAATACATAAGTTTGACCGACAATAAATGTTTATTTCGAATTGTTTTCAATAATTGCGATCCATGAAACAAAGACATCTGTGATCTAGGGTGTGGTAACGTTTTAATCTTCTCTTGTCTTCAATGTTGTCCACTGCTGACGAATGTTCTGCATAGAAGAGTCATGAAAGAGATGGAACGATTCATGAAAGCTAAAGTCAGGAGTGAAAGGTGAGAAGATACAACAAAACAAACCAAGCACTATAACAATTCTTGTTTTATCAGCAAAAGTGTACAAGTGAACATGTAGTTACAACCCAAAAGGAGCAAAACAAAACAAAGAGGTTTCGCCGGATAAGTGGAACAAAGGACAGTCACCTTGCACGGTTAGCGCCGAGTCACGCGTCACTGAAGGCAAGACTTACACTTCTTGAATCCCCGCCTCCCACATTACACCTTCACTTCAGCCGCCCTTTCACATGAAATGGCAAATTTTTGTAAAAAAATTAATTATAAAAAAGGTTTGGAATTTAATAAAAGTCTACCTATTTTTTTTTTCTGAAGTAAAACATATTTTTCTAAAACGCTACCCTTATTGAAGACTTGCCAACAGATCTGCTATACGGACTAACTACATAACGACACTAACTACATAGCTAGGTCGGATTCAGCCGTTGCTTTGAGAAGAATTCTAGCGCCCGGCAGTTCTGTTCAGTATTTTTCCGTGGTTTCGGAAAGCGAAAGTGGGAGCAGTACCCTAACGCACGGACCACAGACCGCGCGCGATCTTTCCTTCCCATTCCTTGTTTCATCCTCACGCCTTACTCACACACTTACATGCGCTACACTTCCTCACATGTCAGGAGACAAGTCGGAGGAATAGAGCTTGCCCTGGCTGGGGCTGTGCCTCGCTGATGGGAGATACCTGGTGGAAAAAAATCCCGCGGACTTATGTCGGCGCCGAATCTCGCCATCCAACTGATTTTGCGTGTTTCTGTAGTTTTTGAAAAACAAAAGAATTGAACAAAATGGCGTTTATGTGATCTTATACAGTTATACATTTAGCACTATCCCTACCATAAAATAGAAAAAAGAATCTTGATACTGGTGTATTTTAGCATGCTGTTTTAATTTGATCCCTGCCTTTAAGATATACTGTAGTAAGAAAGGGCAAAACTGTTTTTTTACATTCCTTCAAGTGAAAGAATTTTAGTGATATATTTTTTTATATTAAGTTTCGAAGGGTAATGGTTCAGAAAATGAATTAATAAAAAACAGATATTCTTGAGAAGATAAATCTATGGGTCAAAAACTAATTTCATTCACTCACTATTGTTTACACGTATTTTCAATTAGTTGTATGTTAACAAAAATGAAAAATAATTTTTTTGGTGAGAAACGGAAAATTCAACTTGACATGGGCTTGCTTTTGAACAATTTAACTTTTAATAATTCATATAAGTGGGATTAAATCAAATAGTAATAAATTCAATATAAATTAGATCACAAGAAGTAACATTGTTCAATTATGCAGCACAAAAATTAAATAATGTTCTATCTTTATATCAGAATTAAGTGTTCCTAATGGAATAGGAGTAAAATGAATTTTACCTGAAGTTTTAATTGGTAATAAATTTGAATGGACGATTTTTTCTTCTCTGACAATTATTGTTCGACAATCATATAAAAATTCTCCAATCAAGTTAGAATAAACTTCTTTTTTTATTATATTTATTTGTATTTTAACTTTGTTTACAATAATTATATACGGCAAGATGCCAGTATGTAATTTGAAGATAAATAATATTACCCACAATTTAAACGAATAACATAATGAACTACATGTCAATAATTACCATTATGTTTAAAAATAAATAAATTGTTGGTTGTAAATGCATTATGTGTGTTATATTGATAAACTTACTGAACACACAGTTTATTTATTTCACCGAATTCACGTCTTGTTCTCATGATATTCGTCAGATTTCATTTTCAAACTGTGCTCTTTCTGCAATCATTTATCTACCTGCACACGCGCTTTCGATCATTAATTTAATTTTTTTAAACGGACACCAGCATTCAAAATTATCGTATTTCCAAAACAATTTGTTCATCAATATGAGTTCATTAACTACCAATGCAATAACCCAATTCAGGAAAAAATGTGAAATATTCTATTCAAACTTGACGCGAAGTTCCTGCAGAGTCCTTACCACCAAAGAATAAACAAAATCCGCCAACGAATGTGTATGAAGCAACGTTGCCAAGCATTGATTGCGTATTTAACAAGAACTAGTTAAGCTACGGTTTAGTAGCCATTATTGGTAAAAATTTAATCCATCCTTATTCCAAACTTACGCTGGAAGTAACTATTCATGGAATAAGCGTGTTTTAACGAAGTTACACCAAGCTTTTATTAGTAGGGCTGTAGAAGTCTAATAAAAAGAAAGAGTCTAGATGCCTATCCGTTCGAGAGGGCAGGAAGAAGAAAGAAGTCAAGACACAACGTCAAAATGAAGTCTCAGAAAAGAGAGAGAAGAGAGAGGAGAGAGAGAGAGAGAGAGAGAGAGAGAGAGAGAGAGAGAGAGAGAGAGATTTAGAAACTTCTAGAGTTAAGCACGAAGAAAATTCCACCTTCGACGAGGAATTCGAACCCGGGTCTCCGGCTTTACGTCCCGATGCTCTAACCACTAAACTACAAGGAGTCCCGGTCTGGGCGACCAATTCTTTGAAGAAATTTAATTCAATTACACACTCGTAGTTCGACGCTAGTGTTTTAAAATTGTCAAACTTTTGCATTTTTCAGTAATTTAGGGGTAACAGTGGAAATCAGACCTACACTAGATTTATAAGTGTATTTCGTTCTATTTTTACGAGAAATTTAAAGTAAAATATTTGGAGCCATTATTGATAAAAGTTTGAAAATGTTTCCTGTAAAGTACTCCCAAAATTTTAAGAAAATTATTCAGTCTGCCATCAAATGGGCATGATCAATCCGGAAATATTCATTTTGTAAAAGAAAAAATCTAGTAATAGTTAAGGCGCAAATAGTTCATTTGCGAACGGAACACGGACGAACGTTATTTAGAAAAAAAACTTTTTCCTTATTAAGGAACAATAAACAGGGATTCTGACTACGCTACATAGAAGAGAAACTAATTTACTAGACACAGGAACAAGACATATCCTCTTTTACAGTATCAAGGAGACATAAACGAGATTTTTGTTGAAAAAACAAACATACTTTTCGCTCTAACACTACATAACTTTCTCTATATATTACCTATTTTACTGCGAATGTTCGCTCTATACAAGAACGGCATAAGCAACGATCATTGTTTCTCTCATGTGTGTATTTGACATTTTGGGTCGATGGCGTTTCCCCATGCCTTGCCCGAGTTAATTCCCACGCTTCAGGGGGAGGGAGACAGGGGGCGAACACGACGTGTTCCCTTCGCCGCAACTAGCTAACTCCGCCTACCGCAGCTTTTCTTGTCACACAGTTGCAGAAACTGAGACGATTTTAAGAAAAGCGGCAATTCTGCTCTGCTTCGATTTTTGGCTGTGACAAATTTCGAAGGTGTTTGGCCTAATAATACGATGGAAATTATGCAGTAAACAGTCTGAAAGTTGTTTTAAGTAAATCGCATAGGCCGGTGACTTGGATCTCGCCGCCATTTGCTCAGAAGTGTGGTGATTGGTGGGGCAAATAATGTATACTTCGATTTATTTGTAGTGGCACACGGCGTAAATTAACGGTTGACAAAGTCATCCAATCTGAAACTTAAACATCACCATAGTGACGTCACAGTGGTGACGACAAGTTCCCGATTGGATGTCATCGTAACATATGATGTATGCCAAGCGCCACTTCAAATAAATCGAAGTATGGGAGGAGGGAAGGGGTGTTCCCACGTGTTCCTGTCTCGCACTGGTCAGCAGCGTCCGGCGCGAAGATTCCGCGTGAAGTTGTCAACGCATATCATAATCAAGCAAGTCATATCTGTATATAAGTGGGCGACCTGCGCTCGAGTGACTATAAAAATATTGGAAAGTTGTTTCCAAGAACACTGTTTATACAACGCGAAAGGCGAAACACAAATATTATAATATACAAATATTTTAAATTTTGATGAGTAAGTGAACTCCACGTCAGACTGGTGTTTCTTTTCTTGGTTATATTAACGCAAGAAACGGTGAACTAAAATGCCCGTTTAGCATGAGTGGTCAGTCTTTCATATCGGGAAAGAACTGAAGGAAAAATTTTATTCTGAACATTCCAAATCGTCAAATTTCATATTACGTATCTAGCGTACAATCATTTTGTACTAGCTCCATCAAATAAATGGAAATCATATATTCGTGTAACATCTGAAAAGTATCAATCATTTTTTGGTTTCTGGAATCCAAAATTAGTTGTATCTTAATTTGTGTGAAGTTAAAAAAAAGAAGCAACCATTACTAAGGATGTAGAAAATTGACAATATTTTGTATCCATGATGATGGCAATGGACATTTAATGCAGAATTAATTGCTGCTTTTATTAATATATTTTAAAAAGATAGAAATGTTTATGCACTATTAAATTAGATTGGTTTTTGACTTTTGTTCTTGTAAGTTGGCTATTGTGCTTTAGGTTGTGGGGCCTTTGAAGTCAACCAAATAACTTTATCAACTTTAAATATGCTCAGAAATGAAAGGTTTTTTTTCTTTTCTATCTTATTTTAGTTTTTAAGTGGAAATGTTAGTGTGCTGATATTTCTTGCTGGAGATAGGAGATAAACAATATAAAAGCAAGTTGAGTGTTACTGTTCATTCAGATTTTTCCATAAGAGAATAGACTTCATTGTCATTTTTTCATAGTGGAAGAATATGTATATGGTTTGATGAAATTGCATATCTGGTTGCAAAATATAAATTTTCTGTGATCAGATGTCCAATTCTTTCCTTTACCTTAAAAGTTTGCCAATCTGCTCTTAAATTAGCTTCTCTTTCTTCTCTTCCTGGCCAACAATAATTAATTTTCTCTCTCAATATTTTTTGACATTACTTTTTCTTCTTGGCTTTCTAATGTCTTATCTTTCTTTTGGTCAGTATGTTATTTTTGTAAACACACACACACACACACACACACACACAATTTTAGTGTCATAAAAAAAAAAGAAAGTACAAATCCTGTCATCCACCAAAATAGTTATTGGAGGTACAGTCCTTCAGCCGAAGTGTCCACTTTATATTTCCAAATCAGTTTATAAGATCTAAATATGTATAAATAAAATTTGAACAAATACAAGCATGTTATGTTTCTATTGTGATCTTATTACAGCTGTTCTTTTGCTCATTTGCTGCGAGGAGTAATCAAAGAAGCATGTTTTCTTTCAGGACCATGTCCAAAGAGCAGCCTGCCTGCAAACGTGTTAGCCTTCAGTGGCTGGAAGATACCAAGGCAGAGCTTGAACGTCGTGTGGAAGCTCTTGAAGATGCTCAGCATGATGTAAGTGTTGTGAAAAACAGACCTCAGAATCAGAAGAATCCATTTCATCTGAAGTCAAGGACAAAGAGCCCAATTATGAATGGATGGTCATTTTTTACATTTTGAACTCCTGAGGTTTACTTTTCTGTTTCATGGGTTGATCAACCTCCTAACAAAACAAAATGCTACATATTACAAGATGGTTTCTTTTGTTGCTATTATGTGATTTTTTTTTTATAGGTCCCTTGAAGGAACAGCTACTTTTAGTACAGTAAAAGTCTTGAAATCGGATTTTCCAGTTGTGAAAGTGGTTCAGAAATTGGTGTAAATGTTTAGTGGATGTGGGTTGGAGAAAAAAATGCACAAAAAAGTTCTTGCTTCTAGGTGAAATACTTACAGAAAATATTAATTATTGAAAATTGATATTAGGAAAAAAGTATTCTGAGAAAATTACAATTATAGTTAAATAAAAATATGTTCAATTATTTTAAAAAAAGTTAAATTACTGGCAATTATGTTTTAAAAAGAAAAGTAAAATTATGGGGGAAATTGCATTATTTAGACACCAGACATTTTATTCTGCTGTAAAATTTGCTGTAATATTGTTGAACCTCAGGAACCCATTTACATGCAACTTGTCACATATTGCAAGTACAATCTGATTGTATTATATGGTACGTATTCTATTTGTGGAATCGGATAATTAATAAATAAAATTATAGCATTAATAATAATTATAATAGTTTATAATAACCTTATAAACATTCCTTTTAGTAATGGCATATTTATTTTGTTTAGAATCCACACCTAAAGAAAATCAACCAAGTTATTGGGCTCAGTTATGTAAATACTGTGGAAATCATAATGTGATATGGTTGATCTCAGAAAAAGGAATGGTCAATTTTGTTTGATTAGGTCCAAACTATGTTTACTCAGTTACACCTCTAAACCTTGTAATCCTGATACAGGGCCAGCAAAGTTTTATTGTTAGAACATATATAATTTTTGCTACCTGTATTATATTATTACAGTTATACCAGCATTATATTTTAAGGCGAGACCTGGGCCACTCTTCCATCTGACTATGCAAATTTCATTGTGGTCCTTTCACCAACTAGTGGAGAAAAAAGGTTAGAAACCTTTGTGACGAAACAGGGGATTTTGAATTTAGCTTAGAGGATTTATTTTAGTCTTGATCTTTTATGTGCAGTAAATCTACATCATGGGACCGATAGCTTTACTTCCCCTCTGAAGGAAGGCATACAAAGGATTTTTTCGCTCTTAAAAATCTACAGCTGTGGTTGGGTTTGAACCCGCTAATTGGGTACAACAGCCATATGTGCTAACGAACCCATGTGCTGTGTTGTCTTGACAGTCTGTCAAATTACTATTAAAATTGTATATTTTAATTGCCTGTTCCCAACAGTGTCATTTATGACTGCAGTTATTTATTGTGATATTATTTAATTTGTAACCAAAAGCTATTTGATGAAGATTCATGCAGGTGAAAAAATGAAAACCTCTCTTTGAAGGTAAACGTGCGACTGGGTAAGCTTGAAAATGCTGTGGAACGATCACTGACCTCTGTGCACCACTGCATTGACAATCTCTTGCTCAACCTGGGGGAGAAAGAAAAGGAAGAAGCCAGGGGTATAGCAGATATCCCAGTGCAGATTAAAATGGATCATGCAAGTATCTTTCTTTAGTGTAAATTAACACACAGTAATCTGGCATCATTCATGGTAATGCTTTCACACTCCTGGTCAAAACCCATGGATGTGGTGAGGAACAATATTTAGTGTGCAGGGAAGTCACAAAGAAAAGTAACGTTTACAGTTTGACATTAATAAGAGTACCATTTAACATGCTTTTATGTGTACACCTATTGTGATTCCTATCCTGTCCACTGCCCTATTCAATGCCATGTGAATTGTTGCTACCAGTACATGCAGTTTTTGTGGCACTGATAATCGCCCTATTTTTATCTAACTAACTTACCGTATTTATCTGAATATAAAATGAGTTTCTCTCTCGCTTGCTCTCTCTTCTGTAAATATCTCATTAAAAAAATAGTTGTCGTATATTCTCAGATTAAGCTTAGTCTGTTGGAATCCATTATTTTACACTTCATTTCCATATAAGAAACATGAACGCTGATCTAACAATGGATTTTGTGAATAAAAACCTAGTATTTACTTCAAGTGTGAAGTAAGTAATTCAAGCATTTACCATCAAACAAAAGCATTTACGTAGTTTGGTGCGAAATACCTTTAACTTTTACTAGGGAGTAGATGCTGGGGGGAAAAAATAAATACTTGTTGGAAAATGCAGGAAAACCAATGCATACTAATTTTCTGTTTAGGGATATTGAGGGAATGCAAAATACCTTATAGGATTTTTGTACTTGAGAAGCAAAAACATTAATGCCATATAGCAGGAATACAATAATCGAATGAGGAATAACATAAAGATGAAAATTTAAATGAGTCACCAGGGATGCAATCAGAAAATGAAAATATTATATTTATTAAATAATTTTTGAGAATTCAAATTTTTTTGAAAACAAAAGCATATTAAAAACTCCGGATATTGTTGATAAAAGACAAGAGAGGTCTAGATGCATGGGTGCAGGGCCAACAAGAGCGCATCAATTTGAAGAATACCAATCAAACAAGTGAACTTTTTAACACAGATCGTAAGTGCAAACAAACACTAGAAGAAATAAATTGTATTTGGTAGTACGAGGATCTATGTCCGTGAGAGCGTTATGTAAAAACCTTTTGTTCTTAGTTTGTGATGGATAAAAAATGGACATGTGGTCCAAGATTTTTAAATAATAGGGGAAGAAGCGAGAAAGGAATAATTTTCATTAAAAATTTAGATTTAATTTAGATGGTTCACAATTATTAGAGAGTAGAGTAATAAGTGAGCTAAAACTGATCAGCAAGAAAGGAATAAAATTCATGATAAATTTAGATAGCGAATTGTAGTAAAGCATATAAAGTAAATTTAGTGTAGTAATATGATGAGCTCCGGTATGGAATTAGTTTCTGATCTCGTCACAATGCCAAGATTGCTGAAATATCTTCGCAGAGGAAAGATTAGACAATAAGTTGCAAAAAAACTTTATAAACAATTTAGCAAGACCATAATATGTTTAATTATAAGGTATAAAATGAAATTAGAAAAAGAGTTATAGTTTTTCTAAATAGATTGCCATCATAAATAGATAACGTTAGAGAAAATATAAGGAGATATTGTCAAATATTAAAAATTAAAAGAATATTGAAATAAAGGTTTATTCTGCAGCCAACACTTCATGTCGCTGGTAATTTCATAACAAATTATAAGGAAATTGATATGTGTTTTTTGTTTTTCATCTTCATGGCATTTCTACATTCATCATCAAAACAATTTGTGTTTCTTACCAGAGATTTGATTTCTATGTTCTCACCAGCTTTTAGTATCACGTTTTTAATGTTGTCCCATTCTAGATCTATGTCTAGACTTACTTCATTCTCTTCGAGGGTATTCTTGATTGATTGCACCATGTGGAGGAGAGAGATTGGATTTATTGACAATACTCAGCTCTATCACAATATTTTCTCAATATAAAGACTCCTTTGGATCCAATGCTTTTTAAAATAATTTCGATAATCATTTTTTGTATATTATTTGACAATACTAATCTTGAATCATAAACTTCAATCCAAGCTAATATGCCATAAGTTATGACCAGAGTAAAGCATAGTGTATCGTCAATACTTGTTTGGTTTTTAGAATCGATCTCGGTTTTTAAATATTTAGAAACTTCAACTTTCAATATATTTGGGCAATCACAACTAGATTTACAATGCTTTTTATCACATATCTCTGGAATTCTGTGCATATAACTACAAAATATTATAAATCCAGCATTTCCTATAATTAAGTTCAGTAAATTGCATCTTTGCCGTTTCACTATCAAAGACATCCTAACTTCTAATTCACTTACCACATTCTTCAGTAATTATTAATTGTAATTATTAAACTGGTGTCGTCAATAATAGAAATGAAATCACCTTCAGGGAAAGTTTTTGAAAAGTCATTTAGGTATAATATTAATTGTGATTTGTATATGATTAAAGTGGTGCCAGAACTGTACCTTGAGGCACACATTTTATTGTCAACTCCTCACAAAAGTGGCCATTTATTCTCACAGATTTTTTTCTATTTGATAAATAGCTTTTGATTAATTTGTAAACAATCCTTCCGAACTCATAAGAAGACAGCCTTTTATGATTTGTAGTGCCCAAAGCTTTTGCGAAATCTAAGTCGATAGAAATACTCGGGATATTTTATCTATTAATTTACTAATTTTGTCTTTAATACAAACAATAGTGTCTCTAGTACTTTTCTCTTTTTGAAATTCAAGCTGATAAACCTTAGTGATGGTGTATTTGTCTTTGAAATTTGAAATCTATTTTTCAAAATTTTCTCTCACCATTTTTGCAAAATTTGTGAACAGCGAGATAGATCTGAAATTCATGGCATTATCTTCATCAACACTTTACAACAATTGTTCTTATTTCACCAATTCTGCCCATTAAATACCCTCTCTTACAAGAAAGAGAGTTAATTAGTCCAATTAAATATGCATTTTGAGTATTACAATTATTCAGTTCATAGAAATCACAAATCACAGCATCAGTTTCATCATTCAAAAATGATGCAATTGGACACCTTTTTGTTTTGCAAAGGTTACCATCAATGCGCAGTTTGGCTGGCCCAAACTTGGGTTATAAAAAAAAAATTTATTCTCCACTTTTCCTTGCCTTCTTTTTAGTTTTCTGAATATATTTTCCTTTTATTTAACCTTCAAAATTTTAATCATTCTCTGGAAAATTTACATTGAGTTATATTTTTTTAATTTAAATCGATGATTTTTTTGTGAATTATTTGATGTAAATCAATTATATATATCACTTGATATAAATCATTGAAGCCCTGAATGTGACATTTGCAGGTTGAGGACGATGCTGCCTTCCCGGTGCATCTGGCTGCCCAGGTGGGTAACCTCGCTGCTGTGAAGGCCCTGGTCCTCGCTGGAGTAGACGTTGGCATCAGGAATCAGAGGGGCAAAACTGTTTTACAGGTAGTTAACATTGCACTGTTCACCACCACCACTACCAAGTTTTTTGACTTAAAAATATTTATCTGATAGGTACCTAAATAAAAAAATTAAAAAAAAGAGATAGAGAGTCCAAAAACATTTGCACTTTGGTCATCTCCCACCTACATAAAATGTGAAGGTTTTTGGACCATTGTCTTCTACATTTGCTTTGCCTAATTTTCTTGTGATCAAGGTGTGATCTGCGAACTCTTGCATCTCGGTTTTCGTCCGTTTTGCAAGTAACGTTGGAGATAACATCTAGTTTCCAAGTTTAGAATGGGTTTACTATACTTCTTTATCATGCTTTTCTGTGATTGGATTTAAAATGGGTATGTACTTTTACATGCTCTTTTGATTTCTATCTTGCAAAATTCAGATTTGCACTCACTGGGCCACAAACCAAGATTCCCCATGGCCTCATTTTCATGTTACATTTCACTAGATACAATGTCATTTCTTTGAAATTCTCTCTTTACCGGCTGATTCCAAATAATGGCCTGAATCGTTCAGCATTTTTTGCTGTAGATGTCATGGTTTTTGTCGTCTTCACTGCATACATCACTGTATACATTAACATTGACAAGTTTTGTCACTTTGAAAGGTAACAGAATTTCTAACCGACTAGACTTAATCTGCAAATATTAGAGAGACAGTATTTTTCAAATTTGAGATATTTAGAAAAAAGTCTCATCTTATAATGGGGTAAGAATGGTATTTCTTTGAATTAAAAAAAAATTACCCACTCTTATTTGCTTTATGACTTGTAAAACATGGTGATGTGAGTTGTATCACTTAAATACTCCATGTATCCATATAAAGCAATCTGTATAAAGCAATTAGATAACACAATAAAAAGGAAATCTGCTAATTGGGAATGAATGTCAAATTCCCAGATAGATTTCACTGCATGTAAATCAGCTGATATATTTTTATAAATGTAAATCTATGTTGTAGTTGACCTATTTGCAGATTGCAGCTGCGGGAGGTCATTCAGAGATTGTGGAGCTCCTGCTGAGACAGCACCAGGATTCAGAGGATGATCTGCAATCAGCGGCAGCACAGGAGCAGCTGCAGGAAGCCCTGATGAACGCTGTAGATTCATCTGTCAACAAGTTGCTCATCAGCAAGGTTCAGTCATGCAGCCAGTTATTTGAACCCTCCTTTATTTCATACTAAATTGGAGTCATGGTTGTTGAGTAACTTGTTGAAATGGTTTGCATTTATTTCTTAAACTTATTTCTTGGGGCTGTGGTACTTATTTTTATTTTGTCATTCCACTAATTGGAAAATATTTGTGTGACAACAGTAAGAGTGATATACGAAAACAGTGGAAGCTCTAAGATTCTATGAGGAATTGTTCATTTACATCCATTTGTTGACTTAATTCATTTGCACATATTCTCATCTACTTTTTGACAAGATTTGTATTTACTATTACAATATTTTTTTTAGTAATGATATTGGAACAATGTAAATCACTATTGAAAATTTTCCTTAACTTCTTAGTCCACATACTGAAATGGTCTCTTGGATCATTATCCTATGCATCTGGCTGGTAGAAGAATATATTTTGTGGAGTGATACAGTTTTTAGCAATGCCAAACTTGTTTTAGAACACAACATTCTATATCTAAGGAACTGCTAAGTACTAATTCACACAAACTTCGAAAATGCCAGGTACCCCCTGTTTCTGACAGGTTCTCTTAAGAGAATCTTCAACTGACCCTCATTTGTGAAACAAAGTAAAGTAGGTATTTTGGATAACTGAAGAAAAACATCACTGTATTATTCAGCTTTTCTTCCAAAGTGTAAAGATTTTCTCACTTGAAGAGTTAAGGAACTCATCTGCAATTTACAATGTTTGTTTTAATGTTATTAATTTGGCATATACCGTATATATAATCAAATATACCCCGCCCTCGCATTTGACCCGCACCCTAATTTTCTGGAAAGGAATCTTGAAAGAAAACTTTTTTTTTTCCCTTTTATTGCAAAAATGTTTTTCTTTGACAAGCCCGCTGATTAACACTGGTTAGTCCAAGTGGTGTTTTGTTTTTATGCCACTTGTGAATACAACTTTCATCTACATCTACACCATACGTTCTTCCTGCTGCACAGTTACCGATTTCTTCTGCATCTTCTATACTTGGGTTTTTGTAACCTGGCACGTCTGTTGACAGTTTTATCCAATCGGGAGCTTAAACGTTACTACAGTGATGTTATCGTGATGACGTTCAAGCTACCAATTGGTAACAGCTGCTTTACGTCAAGTGCGAAAACCCTAGTATATTACAAGTAGTTTTTCTTTCGCAGTGAAAGATCGGAGAACGACTGGTAAACATCTACTGCACCTCAAGGAACGTTTTCTACTAACCCATGCCACATTATGACCACGTTCAACATGTGGTACCAACCTTACCAAGCAAAATATTACCCACACCCCAATTTTCAGCTAGCAATTTTTGAAAACTATATGCTGGTTATATATGAGTGTATACTATTATATATCATCAATGAATGTTTTTTAAGTAATATCTTTTTCTCATTTTGTATGGGAACAGAAATGCAACAATGTACAATGCAAAGTATATTTTCTATTTTTTCGAGACCAATGTTTACATTGCATGATGCTGTAAAGAATTCAATCTCTAGAAACGGTAAACTGGCAAAAAATGATCTTGCAATACAATTGATACAAACTATATTCAGTTTTCTAATGTAATGAGAGTTAAAAAAAAATGTATTTATGAGTGAGTTCGCATTCTGGCTTGTGTTATTTTTTTGATTTATATATCAATGGCTTAGAGTCTGAATAAATTTTAATTTATTACTTCAATCATTTATTTATTTATTTATTTATTTACAATAAACTGGCAATTGCCCAATTTTACATTTGTAGAATATACAGATCATGTAAGGAGAACAAAACATCAAATATGTACATAGCCATCGGTTAAAGTTATTTAAATAAAATGAATTTGCCCAATTTATAAATGTTTCAATCAAAGAACAATATAAATCAATATCACAGTTCTTAGCTATTCTACTTATTTGCCATATTGGTGAATTGAATCCCAAATTTGATTTAGAAATGGGAATGTAATACATGTGGTTAAGATTATTTCTTGGGGTGCATGACGGTATTTTCCAATTGGTAATTTTCTTGATAATTTGGTAATTTTATTTTCCAAGCCATGAAGTTAAAAATTTATGTTGTACTGTTTCTACTTCTTTTATATAAATATTACAGTAAGGAGACCAGTTCTGAGATGAATAAAGAACTATTAGTCTTACTAAGTTAAGTGGATTTTGGAAATCTAATGTACTTCTTATGACAAAATCTAACTCGCGAATAACTTAACCAATGATATATGCAATGTTTGTCAAATTTCAATTTGGAATCAAATGTGACTCCTAAATCTTTAATATCATTGTCAGATTCTAGTATGTATTGTTTATAGTATATGGATAATCAATCGGATTTTCAAGTTTCATGACTTTACATTTTTGTATATTGAATTTAATTGTATTCAGGTTACTCCAATTTAATATATTATCTATTATTATTAATATATTAATGTAACTCTTTGCAATCATTGACATTTTTTATTTCTTTAAAAAATTTCAAGTCTTCTGCAAGTAAATATAAAAAAATATATTAATTATGCTGGACTCTGTTAATGCCAGTTGGGGCGCAGTGCTGGTGTGGAAGTGTTGCACCGTGCTGCATGTAAGGGCCGTCTTCTTCTTCTTCATGATCTGCTGCATTCAGGCGTTGATCCGAACGCCGTGGATGTGAACGGATGGACTGCACTGCACTTGGCAGCAGACGGAGGCCACTCAGAATGTGTCAAGATACTGTTGGACTCGTTTGCCAAAGCAGGCTATGTGGGTGGTCCCAAAATGCAGACCCCGCTCCACGTTGCAGCTGAGAAGGGCCACACAGACTGCCTGGAATCTCTACTCATTCGAGCACCTAGTTCCATCAATGTCAGGTGAACAACGCAATGTCTCTCTAACTCCAATGAAAATTTAAGAAAACTAGTGATGCTTTTACAGCACATACTTACTCAACTGTATTTTCACGCAAAATTATGTGAAAAGTACCCAAATTTTCAAAAAAAATTGTTCATGACCTTATTTCAAAATTTATCTTCAAGGAACAGATTTCATTAAGGTGAAAAATCAGAGTTTTAATGAAAATAAGTCCTGCACCATTCTCTTAAATGTCCTTCGTACTATCCAATAAGAAAATTTAATCAAAAACAATGGAGCCATTTTTGTGAAAATTTGGGAAATTCCCAGAGACTTCATGTAAAATATCGGTTTGAAATTAAAGAGTCTGCAACATCAGCCAGATCGGCTGAACGGTTTAGCCACTAGCATTGTTCACAGGTGGACAGACAGATTGCCGTCATTTGATTGTTTCAAGGATATGTTCATTTCATTGTATCGAGGATCCACAAAACAGGGATTCTGGCTACACCATATGATAGAGGATTTTTTGTTTTTTCCCTAAATTATTTAGCAACTGGATGTATCCACTTTTTCATTACCAGGGACTTGTAATAAGAGTTTTTCTGCTGTAAATTCACCATTTTTTCGCACAGCATTAATTCACTTTTTCTCTACTACATTGTGTGAAAGTAAAAATTTATTGTTAAGGTAGTTGCTTTAACCCTTCAAGTGAGTGCTACATCATATAACATGCTCTACCAAACAGCTGTTGTAGCGTGTGTCTCGTCATATGACATTAATGCTTTTCAAAGGGATTTTTCAATAGTTTCCGTGTAGTTCCGCCTCTCACCTATAGATGGTATTACGATACATTCTTTATGTTGTAATTGTTGAAGTGTACATACATTTGTCAGCACTAGTTTTCTGTTTACAATTTTTTTTTGTAGTTCAATATGTAGCTAGTAAAGGTGTGTTTTTTGCAATGGCTGGTCTAAGTGATGATGAGATTTGTTCGCGGGCAGATGTTGTTGTGGAACCCGGGTTCAAGGGAATTTCAGGTTGTCTCAGTAGCTTAGTGGTTAGAGCAGCTGGGGGTAAACCAGAAGGCCCAAGTTAAAGTCCTGGCCGGGGCAACCAATTCTTTGAACAAATTTAACTTTATTTTACTTTACTTTTATTTAACAAGATTATTTTGTGTATAGACCTACTGTATTTTTTTCAGAATTTTAATCCGAAGTTTTGTGAAAATATACCTATTTATAGCATTGTTAGAGAATCGTCCTCAGAGGTATGAAAATTAAGTAAGGCTGAGCCAAGTGGTACCAAGTGGGTTAGGGAAGTCTCACCTAGAGGGTTAACTTGTTACTTGCTGACCCTTACTGGATGAAAATTGTTAATTTTCTACGAATGTGTTTTTTGAACCCTAATATTGATCATTTGAAGTCAAAAATTTGGTATCACATCTAAGGAACTCTAAACCAAATGGTGTGCTCTCACGTCACTGGTCGAGAGAGGTTGGTTCGTAACTGTGTAGGTAAGCACTGAGTAAAGATTAAGAATTAATTAAATTAAGAATTAAAAAATAGTAATAATTGTGCAAATATTTTGTATTTTACTAATATTTTGCTATTGTATTTGGTTAGTTCAGTAATTTTAATTGATAAGTTCCAAAACACCCAGGATAAATATGTGCTGAACATTTTCACACAAATGGTTCAATTCTCGCACATCCCGCTATGTCCTTTAGCATTTTTCTGTCACAGAAGCGTGACATGATGTGTTTGTTGTATTGTAAAGTTCAATTAGTCATCAATTATGGTGTGTTATAGGCTACAAAATTACAAGAAAGTTTTATATGTTCTATAGTGGTGAAATGTAAAGGAATCTTTAAAAGACACATTTCCAAAAAAAATCAGCAGAAAATCCTATGCATCGCAAAAGTTATGATATGAGTCCGAAGGCATGTGAAACTAGTGCATCTAAAAGGAAGAAACGTAGTGTAAATACCAAAATTGAGAATTATGTGAATACTAAGTGAAGACAACATCTCAAAAGATGTCTTCATGGCAAAATACAGAATGTGGAGCATCCAAGAAAACCAACGAATACTTTTGCTGGTCTCAAAAAATTATTTTAGGTTTGTTCTAAACCAGGGTTGCCAAACTGGCGACCTGCTAGTCGCATGTGGCCCAAAGTGCCAGTTTTTGTAATTCGTGAAAGGTTATTAGTGAAAGTCGCTTTCATCCATGTTGAGTGAGTACATTGTGCATCTAGTGCACACACTCTGCTGAGGTCAACATTCCCTTAATGTAAAAATAGGTAAAGTTTAGATTTAAATAATTATGGTACCGACTGACCACACATGGTTCCATCCCCTGCCCTCCCCCGCTTGTTTTAGAGCAGCCAGGCAAAGTGGTCAACAACAATACGGGGAAGTTACATGTGGAACACTCAAATAATGACAATATGATCCACAACTGTATTAAAGAGTTTTAGTTGTGGCCCTTGAGGCCTTGCAAGTTGGACACTCCTGATTTAAATGTATTACTTAATTTCACATAGAGGCACATTTTACAATTTTACCCGTCTAGAATCTCAAAATCACAGGGAAAACTCAGGTTAAAGGTTGAGACAACCAACAGGCACCCAGAAGATAGTAATAAATAAATTTTGAATATCTTCAAAAATATTTCATTTTTATTTTGCTTCCCAATTGTGGGACTATGATAGGTAATGAGTTAAAAAATAGAGAGGTGTAGAGTACCTAGCGTTGAGTTGGTGGCTGCTGCTGCCCTTTGTTTTTGTTAAATGACTCTTCTTAACATTTTAAAGGCTTGATCTTTTGAGAATATTCACATAATTCATTATAAATAGTTTTCATGTCTCTTTCCTCAATTTCTGAAAATAATTTCCTTTTACTAATCTTTTAGTTTGAAGGTGTTGCATTTTAAGTTCAGATAGAACAAACTGTTTAACTATTACAAAATACAATGTTTGTGATTTTAATGACAAAATATTTTCCCCCTTGGTTCACATTTAAAATATTTCCTTTTACTTCTTTAACTCTTTAATTTTCATCCTGTACATAAATTTTTTGTCCTCCATACATTCATGTCATACTTTTCATTGTCCACTTGATTTCAATTTTCATAATTCACCTGAACCAGCCTGGATGTCTGATAAATGGTCTGGTTTACAGGGACTGTAATGGATGGACAGCCCTTCACTGTGCTGCCTTTAATAAGTGGCCAGAGTGTGTTAAAGTGCTTCTGAGATATGGTGTGGACATTGCCTTAACAAACAGCCGTGGAGAGTCAGCCCTTCACCTCGCCGCCTGCCTCAGCACTGCTGAAAGGGACAGCATAGGTGATGCATCTGCTGCCCTTGCACAGCGTACACAAGTAATCAAGTTACTGTTGTCCGCTGGTGCTGACCCCAATGTACAGAGCAAAGATGGCAGAACAGCATTGCAGCAGGATGGTGTTCAAGCTCTGCTCCAAGTGATTGGCCAAAGGAATGATCCAGGAGGCAACATTGGGTGACTTGCAAGTTTTGTCATTTGTTTCTGACATTCTAGTGATCAGTAATTAACTACATTGGTATGGGTCAGCACAACCGTTGCCTAAATTTCAAAAATAAAAAAAGGAAACGTTGACCACATGAAATTAGAAATTCAATTATTGGTTTTTCCCTTAACTAATGTTACTGCTCCCCTTTTACCAACATGTAACTTAAGCATGTTTTCATTCTGTTCCTAAAGAAGAGGCTTAGATCAATGTTGTGCTGACCCCCCTCCACTGTAATCCTTCACACAAGACTGCTACTGAGTTGAGGACAAAGCAAATGGGAGCTCATTTTTGCAGATCATTTCGTTCTTGATTTTCATTTCTTCACCAACAGAAATACCCCATAGAGATTGTAAAAGTTATCCTCTTGAAGGTTCCTAGTCCAATCCTTGCTGCACACCTGTGTAGCTAGATTGATGTTGATTAGCTGTTGAAGTGTCTTTAGGTCTTTATCAAAATATTCATTAGAATTCAGTATGAATGTCATAATTCCTAAGTGATTTTTTTGTTTTGTTTTTTGTATTGACTTTTTCAAAATGTGAAATGCAGCTGTGATATTTGTTCTGCCATATTTGAAGTTGTGACTTTGCAACTCTGCTATTGTTGATAATTTTTCGTATTTGGTCAATAAGTTTGAACTAAACCAAAGAGTGTGGCATTATTGGTTTATTAATTCTTGGAATTTGAAATGCAAATGTAACCATAGTTAAGTGCTTGTGTTTTATGAATTCAGCTTGTGCTATTAAATTAACATGAATATTTTATAGTCTTACTTCGAAAATACGCATTCATATTACTCTGTCATCTGACTCAATGCTCATTTGATTTCTGATTTGAAAATGACTTAGGTCCTTTTAGTGTTGTTTTTATCAAATACAATAAGATAATATGGAATGGAATGGATTTTTAGTCATTCATTCAAGTAAGTGTGGGAATGTCATGCTATGATGTTTTAAATTAATTTTGGGCATTGTGTGCAATTTTTTCTCCAGTAAAATAGAAAGAAAAAATGAGTGATTTATAATATAATGGAATATACAAAGATTTTGTACCTATGTGTTAAAATTAGAATAGCTCAATAAAAATTAATAGTAATTTGTCATCACATCAGCACCCAAAGCTCTGAACCCCCCCCCATGCCCTGAACTATTTTTGAGTTCATTTAATGTGTAGCTATCATTCCCATTCTTTTGAAGGACTTCTGGCTAAAACCCTAAAGATGTAAAGAAAATAACATACAATGTTATTATTTGGAGAGGGATCCAGATTTGATACAAAGATAGTATTTGTTAGTTTTAAGAGTACCAGCTTACACAAAGTGAATTCACTGCTTTCAGGAACAGCTTTTGTTATTATGAAGGATATTTATGCTATCTCATTTATCTATGACTAACTGTCATTTGTTCTCTCATATGATTTTTAAGGCCCAAAAAAGGAAGTCCAATGCAATTCAATTAACACTGAGAAAATCATTTGCTTGTGATCTGCCCTGACTAATGCCCTTTTCTGAATTGATTCAATTTAGATTCTGGCGATAAATAATGATTCCTTTTTAAAAGGAATATGAAAGAATAAAACTCCTTCACCTTTTTCTTGGTGAACAGTGGAATTTTCTCCTAAAAGCAGCATGGTTAAAGTTCCTTATATTCCATGGGACAACATTCAGGTTAATTACAAAGAATACACAAAAATTTCATTGAGTTGTAATTAGGGGTCTGAATGATCAACAATGAAGGTTGGAATCCTCTAAAGAAGCGAGGAAGCATCTTGTGATGGCACAGCTGAACTTTGATCACTGAAGAGAGCTTTAAGTCATGAGTTTGGCAGAGTGCTCAGAAACGATAAATGGACTTTATTCCCCCTTTTCTTTATTATTTCTCTTAATTATATTGCCCTAATTACAAATTTAAATCCATAATACGTTTTCTGACATTTCATTAAAGTATGGAAATTAAATAGGTAAGAATACACGACTTTTGAAAATGAATCTTAATATCAAATGTTTCATATTTGTGTAATGTTTTTATAGTGTAAATTTAAAATTAATTATTAATGAAAATAGTTCGTTAATTAAAAAATTAAAGACCTTCAGTTTTATTATAAATGTGATTTATTGTTTGAAATAGTCATAAGCCTAACTTTTAACCATCTTAAGGTTAAATGCACCGAAAAATACTTGTAGGAAAATTCAATAGACCGCAGCACTATCACAGGGGAATTTACTTTACCGATAACGTCTGAACCAATGGTCCGATTTTCGATTTGTAAACGGCATTTGACGCCTTTTTAAATAGAATTTAACGCTACGAAGCCCTTTTTCCCAAAAATCTAGCAAATCTCGAATTTGAAATTATTCTCAACTTCCGAGCAAAAAATTTAAAAGTGTAGCTTATAGCGCGATGGAGACATGCTTCCTGAATCTATCCGCCGTGACAATCAATGCAAATCGGACGATAGGAGCGTCCGTAAAGTGAAATTTACGAAAACACCTCGCCCCTCCCCTTCGTCACGTTGCGACATCCATCCGATTGTTGTGGGGCCCTCTGTCGGCGCGGGGGCACGACCATGCCAGGCGGCGTGCGGCCAGCCCCGGCGGAGCAGGCGGGACTTGCGGATTCGCAAGCCAGACAGCCGGTTTCGGCTTTCGTCTCTTTGCATCTCAGACTATTTTTCCAAGATACCAACTAGAGATGCTATACTACCATTACTGACTGAGGTAAACGGTCTGTAATAGTAGTACATAACTATATTTTTTCACATATTTCCGTCTTCCTTCGAATACGATTTTAAAATTGTTTGAGGCAATACTCAAAATATCGATTCCGATTTGGAACTGGTTTTTAAAAAATGAACAATTTTTAAATATAACCATTATTCCATCCCTCACGTCTTATTTTAGATATATTTTACTTCTAAGGTTTTTCTGCGTACATTCCACCTTGCTCTAAGATCTTCCGGTTCAAATACCGGAAAGAATGGAGGAGTATACGCCGAGCACTTTTATCCTACAACTCGATTTTTTGATCTCAAAACGATGTTTACCTGCTTTATATGAGTTCATCTGGTAAATCTCTAAATTAATAAATTATTATTCTAACTAATTTGTCCCGCAGTTTTCCTTGAGGACAGAGTCAGGTCTATGACTGATCTCGAGTTGTTATCTCTGGTAGGTTGCTACTCCTCCGTTGTTGTTCACACGAGGTTTCTCCTAGCTACCATGTCTGTGACAAGAGACCCTCTTCTGTCGCTTCTCAATGACTCCCATTCCGAGGATTTCGCGTTGAAGTCCCCGGCTATTAAGACTTCTCCAGTAGCGGTACGAATGTCATCTTCTAGGTTGTGCACTTCTGTTTCGAATGTATGAAAGGGGTCATTCTGTGAGAAGTAGCAGCTATAAATTCGAAGGGACCCTACTTTCGATCCATACTCTAGCCAACCCACCTACACCCACACACAACTTACCACCTTCACAGTAGCAGGCATGAACCGTAAGCGGATTATCAAGATTTTGCCCGTGAAGCGAGCTTTAAAAATCTAGGGAGCAGGAATCTTCAGGGTGCGAGAAAGGTTTGAACCCTTGACCGCAATAAAATCACACAGATTGCACACAAACGAGTGTATAATTTACCATAAACTTTTAGTGGGCATAAGTTAATGACAGAAACCAAGAATATAGAATCACACTTTTACAAGAATAATCAAAACACAGATAGAAACCTTTACAACACACACTCATGTAATGAACACATAATTTACTTCAAAATTGATACTCTGAAATAATTACCCTAAACTACATTTGGGAATTCCCTTGGAAAATTAATTATATCTAAATTTGTGATATTCTAATTACATTGCACGTGAAATCAAAAATTCAATTTACAATCTCTCGCTTCAAGATATTACATGTAAAGAACAAATGTGTGCAAGTGCACTACCTAATTTACAATTTAACTGTGTCTGAAATAGCGAAATAATAAATGTCCTAAGTTATTAATGTTTTTAGGCAGGCAATAGCGCATCAAAAACGTCTCCTACTATAATACTGTAATTTGTTGCCACCCGTGTCCTCAAATTCTTAACTTTCCTATACTAGTTTTCCCTGCGACGTGAACTTGAACATATTTTCCGCGCTGTACTGTTACCCATCGTGAACTTCCCCCTTTTGGCCTAGATGGTCGTGCGCTGGTCGCTGCGTCGATCGGTCGCGCTGGCCGTTCGTCCAGCTTCTGCGTTTGTAAAGAGACGGGATTCGCCTCTGCCGTCTGCGTTGCCTCCTTTGCGTCCTTTTCCGTTCTTCCTCCCAGCCGTTCCGTCTTCTTCTCGTGCGCCTGGTCCTCGGCCTCTTCTTTCCTCGTCTGCTACCCGGCGCCTCTGACTACGCCCACGTTGCGAAAATGTCCCTTGCACTTCACTGAAATACTCGTGCAAGTTCCTCGTTCGTTGCTACTTCTACTTCGACAAGCCAGAACTTTTAAATGTTTCCTTCACAACGGGTAATTTTTACTTCCCGTGTTGTTAATTGAAGAAACATACTAATCTGCACTATCTCGCGGACGACTAACTAGAACGTCTGTTCGACGCCGAATACTCCTACCTAGTAGTCGTTGCAGCGGCAAACAATATCTAAACTATGTTTAACGAAAATGTTGACTCGGCGAACGGTGATCAAAAGAGCAGCTGCTTACTCGGCGCGTGTGGCAAGAAAAGAGCTTCGCTTGCGGGTTCGCGTATTTATGGGCGGGCGCGGCCCTGGGGAAATACTTCGTGATGGGGGGGTTGTTTTCCCCTCTCTCAACCCTTCACAAAGAAAACATAGTCGCTAGTTCGCATTCGTTTAGTACGGGCAACGGATACCAGGCCGCGCGTTTAAGTACCTCTGCCTTACGCGTCTGTTATCCTCGCTGCCTCCGTAGTGTTCAACACAAGAGACGGTGGTGTTTATGGGGTTGCACAATCCCATAACGCCACAATAAAAGCCTTGTTCTTTTCTTCCACCCTTCGAATTTTAAGATCTGGGTTGGCGACGTAGAGAGCTGATTTGCCTGATAGATCCTGGGTACCATGTTCCTGGAGACTGGCTTCCTGTATTGTTCCGATATTATGGCTATATCGATTCTTTTTTTGTACCGTTTGCAGGAGTAGGTCTTGTGCTGCCTGCCTTTCCCTAGGTTTATTTGCAGGAATTTTAGCTCCATTGTTTCTTTTGCTTAGTTACGCATTATGAAACCGTGCAAAAATTTACTGCCGGGCGATGTTGGTTGTTGACATTGCTGTCCTTTGCAGGATTAGGCTGGCAGTCTCCCGTAGTGCAGTCTTTCTTTGATGGTCACCTCCACAGTTCCAGCAGAGCTTTCTCCGTGTCGGGGCCGCTGCACCGCTTGGGATATGGCCATATGGTGGACACCTGTAGCATCTGATCACCTCCTTCCGCACAGTGATACTACAGTACACCATATCTACTGCTATTTCTTTTTCTGGAGAAGATCTGCGGAAATTTGACTATTGCCGATTGTAGGCCGGTGTACCCTTTAGGTAGCAGGCCATCTCCAGATCTGGTATTCCTGCTTCTTTTCGGATGGCTTCCTCACGCATCTTCGGTGGAGAACTCCATACGTCCTAATGACGATGGTCGACTGCTTAGTTAGGACCGTACGTCCGCTTTTCCTTCCAGGGTTTCTTTGAAGATGTGGTGGAATTCTTCGGTTTTTCCTTGCTCTTGAAGGACGAATAGGTATTCGCCTTTCTTGTTTTCCTCAACATCTTAAAGTCAGCCCCACCCTCTTTGGGTTTCATCTTTGCGCTGATTTCTTTAAAGATGTCAACGTATGACGTACCCACTTTGATGGCGTCATTTTTACTTTCTTTTTGTGGTTTTCTGACTTCTTCCAGCCTTCTTCTTGCGCTCGTTTCCAGAGGGAGATGTTCATCTCTTCGCTTGTTCCGTGTGCACTGGGTTCATCTACTTCCTTGTGCGGGATTCGGAAGGTTCCCTTCTCTGCCGTCCTCTCGAGGTGACTTTTTTTTTCTTTGGCTATGCTTGCTTTTCTTTTTAGCACGGTTTCTTCTATTTCTTGCCTATATGCGTCTCTCGGGCTGCACACTAGTTCTCGAACTGATTCCGTTTCTATAATCGCACTGCCTCTTTCTTGTCAGTATTTCGATAGTGCCATGGCCCTCATTTAGTGCCGCTTTTCACGGTCTTATGGATATTGCGCGCGTCGGCAACGATAGAATGCATGAACGCAAGTCTTTCCCTATTTTCGGAGATTGTTTCCCCCATGTCTCTAAGAAGGTCAGTCTGTTGACTGAGGCTTCTTATGGCTGGGCGTTTCCTCCCGGCATTTTCATTAACTTGGGCGTTCAGCGGCTGGCCAAGAGGCTCGAGGTCCCTTGGTCTTCTTCTCGACTATTTCCTTAACGCGGAATCGCGCATCACCTTAGAGCTATCGGCCATTTCCGACATGGATGGTAGTTATCCACGCCCTTGGGGCGCTAGTGTCTACAGTGTGGCAGCCGCAACGCCAGAGGCGCTGAGGTTGCAGTTGTTTGGTCAGCCACTGTTAGGGAGCGCTAGTTGTTGCGTCTAGTTTCCACCCACGCCCGCTCAGCGCTGCGATTTGAAGGGCGCTTCAAGGTCACGCTCTTCAGTGGCGGCACAAGAGGGTGGATGACAAGGAAAATATTCTGCGCTGTCTGGAGATTAAGCAATCATCCCGGATCATGCCTTATTTCCAACACGTTAAGAATAGTTTAGTCATTTGCGAGAACATACCTTGGGTCGCTCCTGCCCAGAATTCACTAGTATCTCCGAGAAGCGGCACCTCACAATCAGCGTGTTCGCACGGCACGATCAGTGCTACCAACCTCTCTATCTCTCGATCGATCTATCTCTCGGTCCATCGATCGGTCGATCGATCTATCTATCAATCTCTCGATCGATCGCTTTCACACACGACATAATGCTCAATAAAATGAATAATAAAGTAATAACTACATTAATAATAAAGGCAAATGACAGAACCCTGAAAAATACAAAAAAGATATACAGGAGTTTTTTTTAATTTTAAAAAAGAATCGGAGGAATTCCTTCGATTGGATTCTGGCCTTATAGAATCGATTCCATCAAGAATAGGAATCGATAGAAAAGAACCTATTCCGGAACGAATCGATAGAACTGGTGGAATCGTCCCGAGTGATGGAAATAACATCATGGAGGCATAATTCCACTCGTCCGTTAGCGAGTGAATATTAGCGCGTTGTATTGTGTTTTTGTTTATAGGCTCTTTATGGATATTTTTGGTTCTCGTGCTGCATTAACATATTTAAAATAGGCTAATATTTTTCAAAAGGTAAATAAATGTGCCTTAACACTAGAACCGCCAAATGTGGCGTACTACCTAGAACCGCCACGCGCGACAAAAATGTCCCATGAAGTTTCTTTTGCACTCTGGTGTGCATATAGCGCAGAGTATTGGAAAATAATGAACGTTAGTTTCTCGAGTTTAATATTGTAACCGTCCCGTCGTGCCTGTATCTGTATTATAATTATTTTTACATCTTTTGATGTAAAATGATATTCAACATCTCTGTTTAAATTCTAATACTAATCATTCCTACACGGGCAAGATTGTCACTTGAATATTTGTGTTAGGATCGTGGGGCTGAAGGCCCTCCTCTACAGGTTAGGGAAATAATATTTATCATAATTTTTTTTGTTATGGGAGGGGAAATTACCTTTCTTTTTCTACAAAAAACATAGACATCATTCAAATATATTCAGCACTGTGATCAATGGTACCGTTAATTTATTCGGCGGTGTTAATCTGTGCCGTCGCCACTTCCCTGTGTGACGCTACCGAAAAAAATCATAACACAAAACAAGGAATTCCCTTTAACACAATAACAATGACTAACTTCATATTCACACTTAATACAAAAAAAACTATTTACACAATTCTCATTAATACTATGCACGTTATTATTTTGATGGCCATCCACGTTACTTCGGGGTATTTACCAAATTTATTACAGTGCTTGGCCTTCTCGTACATATATATTCTGTACGCGCGGGGTAATATCTGGGGATGTCCATTTCCCTGAATATGATGATTTTGCCGTCAAACCGCGAATTCGCTCCATCTACCATTTCACCATACCATTCCGTCAGCTGGGCTCGCCATTTGCACATTACCATATTTCCTATGCGTTTCTATGCAAAACCAACTAAATCCAGTACTTCCATTGAAACCCAACTACCTAATCAATCAAGTCAGCGCATACTCCAACACGTCTTCTCTCCGATAACTAATTACACTCTCTCCAAAACACGAAAATTGCCAGCACATGCTACACCATGACGGCTTGGTATCTATCATCCTGGTGTCTTCTACAGTCAGTCTAGTCTTTCGATTGTTTTCCAACAATTAAATACGGAAGTTTTTTTAGTTACCTTATGGCATATTTTTATTAATCATTGTGACAAGTCCGAATGGACCGTTACAATATTAAATAATACAAGATATTGCACTTAATAAATAATATTAAATTAATTGTAATTACTAATTATATTTAAAAAATATAATATTCTTACAAATTTTCATCCTTACCATGTTGGTTGTTATTGGTTGACGATAAAAGAATGCAAATTCCAAAAGTATTGTTGTTTTTAAAAGTTAAATAAATGTGTTCTATTAATAATTGTTTTATGTAATCATTATGATTGACCCATATTTCTAGCTCATTTTTATCATTAAGATCCCCCCAAGTACTTATTCCTAAAAATTCAATACCTGTTTGTTTTAAGTAAAGAATGCCTCATATAAGCATACCATAAAAACAGTTAATTAAGAATAGAGTAAAATCAGCTAATTTCAATATAGCTTTTAAGAGAAGCAGCAAAAAAATTAATTTTGAACTCCCTCTTACGATTTGACAGTGAGCGTGATTGGCACTCCCAAGTAAAGGAGTGGACACTTTTCTAGTCGACGGAGCGCGCCCGGTGAGCGTGGCTATCGTTTACTTGTCCCCACTCGTAAAACAAGGACGTGATCGCCCTGTTTGTGGTATTATCTCCACGCGTTTTCTCAGCGTTTTCTTGAGCCCTCATTTCGCTAGATGCGAGGGGAATGGGGGGTTTGATTATTTTATTGAGAGGGCTATTATATGATATCTGTAGCTCATTCATCGAAGCAAACTATTTTCTGTTAGACGGAAGTAAAAACTGCTGGTTATTAGAGTTTATGTATACAACTTGTGGCTATCATTTATTCTGAATTCAACTAATGTTAGTAGAAGAGTGGGGAGAGGTATGACGAGGCTCAATAAAAAGGTGCGCGTATAATACGACCATATCAAATATATAGTCAAATTTTTTTGAAAAAGCAACTGACACGGAAAACTCTCATTTCCGAGATCGCGTCATACCAACCTGATCAAAGTATAGGCGATTGAAGCGCTTCCTGGAGTAATCTGAAACAGAAATGAGACTTCAAACATAAAACTTCGCATTTCTGCACACGCAATGCGCGCGCTAGTTGGCTAGTTAGTTTTAACCTTTTGTTTTTCTTTGTTGCAGGATTGGCCATAGATGCCCGTAAGGATAGGAATGGTCACCTGGCAGTGGCATGAAAGTCGTGAACGTGCATTGCACGTACCAAGTTACCAGGGCCCGGCAACCCTCCATCAAAATTGGAGACAAAGTTGCTACTATAGAATGCGCTAGTGTCGCCGGCTACAGCTGCTGGTAAGGCTCGCCAACTTTCGCACATAAAAATTGGTCAAGAAATACAAATACACTTTGATTATGAGCGATTTTTGAAATAAATTACAAAAGAAGTTAAATAATATGTGTTTAACTTCTAAAATTCATTTATTCATAATAATACACGCATGAAAGAAAAGGTGGCGCAAACAGCGGTGCGATCTTTTGTATCAAGCGCGTGTATTTGCGTTCCGAAAACCCATGCACGTTTTAAATAATGTTGGTAGCAGTTCGTATTTTAGTTCGTGCAAGATGGTGATGCTCTAGAGCGCGCCACTGTAATGGTGGTAATGGTCCCCACCACGTTATATGAGAGTTATAGGGCCCTGGCACTTTCCGTGCGTTCCAGAGAGTAAGCACAAAGAGGGCTCTGCATATGTGTGGGTGCTCTCGAGTCGTGACCAATGTTTTTGCAATTTTTGATCAAATTAATATACATAACTGCCTTTTTATTTATTTTTTTGGTGAGTGTAACCATCGATTATTCGTCCATAACGAGGAAGTGATCGCCCTGTGTGGGTGCTCTGTGCCCATCTATGTTATAAGTCTGTGGTCTAAGATCTCTCGTAACCGATGTAGTTGTAATTTTTGATCAAGTTAATCTACACAACTGCCTCCTTTATGTTTTTATTATTTCGAAGTTGTATTTATAAAAAATAGTGTATTATTTTGTATGAATATTCAAATTTTTTGGCTGGTGATTTTCATAAAGCTAAGTGGGAATGAGGAAAATGTTGATAAATATTTAGTGTGTTGTAATGCAAGTGTGTGATAGTAGTTAATATTAAAACAATGAAATGTAATACTTATAATGGATGTTCTGATAAATTCTTTTGATGAATTTTTTCAGTGTTGACATGGCTGAACCAATGATTTGTGTTGCATGGAATGTTCATGCGAATGAACTAACTACAATATGTAATACTATGTTGGAGAATGAACTTTGTGTGGATTGCACAATAGTTGCTGAAGGAAAGAGTCTAAAAGCTCACAGGCTGATTTTGTCTACATGTAGCCCATTCTTTCATGTAACGTCAATTTTATGGTTTCATATAATTTTGTTTTTTGAACTAAATAAGAAAAGAGAGAAGGTTCCTTTTTTTCTTTTCTGTATGTCAGCATTTAATTTTTAATCACTTGATATAATGTTTGAGGATTTGTCGAGTATTTTTCTGTTGTAAATTGAGTAATGTGTTATTATATAATTTCTGTGTTTTAAATGCATGTTGCATTATGGGTGTACCTTTGCTTGGCCACTCCATTTGAGATGCTGAAAAAGGATGGAAGAGTAAAATTACTCGAAAATAATATAAAATAGAAATGTAATTGAAGTATTTGGTTTACCTGACTCGTCAATTGGGATAATTAATTCACTTTCCTTGCAATTGTATTGTTTAAAATTTAGACACTTTTAATGAAATATTGTTAAGGAAGGTAAAGAATTTCTAAATGCCCAATTGTCCATGTAGAATTTTTTGATGAAATTTGGTGATGGATTTTTAACTGAACTGACTGTTGAGACAACTGAAAATTGAAATCTCAGTGCATAAAACCTCTATAAGGTAAAAAATTTGGAAATACCAACAGCCCATGTAGAAATGCTTGAAGACTTTCTGTACCTGATATTTCAACTCAACTTACTGTTGAGAGGGAAGAAGCTGCTTTTTAATTGTTGTGTTCTTTCTTTCTATTCTTTTCTTTTCTTTAGATGTTGTTTAGTGAGCAAAGAGATGAACATCCCATTGTCATTATCACAGATACATTATTCTATACACTTAAATCCGTCATTGATTTTGTATATTGTGGGAAAACGAAGATTCCAGCCAACCAGTTTGAAGAGTTTTGGAAACTTGCAGTCTCTCTTCAGATTAAAGGCCTTGGTAACTCGCTCCAAATAGATGTAAGTAATGCAGTATCATAATAAAATACTCTGTAGCTGCTGATATTCAATCTTTCAAAAAATGTTTTTTCCTGTTTTAGACGAAAACTGACATTGGCAGCATTGGTGAAAGAAATGTCATGCCGAGTCCGTCCATTGTTAATCATGACATCTGTAAAATTGGAAGCCTATGGACAAGTGAAGAACACGACTCCACAAATTCTTTACAGCAGCATCCTTTACATGTTCCATATGGTTACATAGACACTGCCAAGACCGACCCTTCGGTTCTAGTTGAGGGATGCTGTGACTTTGTTCAATCAGGAGAAAAGATGATGCCTCAGCACAGTTATAAGAGGTGTTCTGTGCAATATGATCCTGATGTATCTATAAACCCAGAAATAAATGTAAAAATTGAACCATTATGTTTTGAAAGTGAAATTTTGGAGACAAAAAACAGTGTATTAAGTCATCAAAGTACTCCAGTGCATATAGATCCTGAGGGTCTGATAAATACAGAAACAAGCGTTAAAATTGAACCATTATTTTCTGAAAGTGAAATTTCAGCTACAAAACCCAGTGGGTTAGGTCATGAGAGAAGTCCTCAGCATCAAGATTTTGAGGTGCTGATAGACACAGAAATAAGTGTGAAACATGAACCACTGTATTCTGAGATTGAATGTTTAGTGACAAGAAACAAGACTGAATACCTGAAACAAGACATATCTGAAAATATTAAGAGTGAAACTATTGATGAACAATCTCCAATGTTTAATCACAATTTGGATCAATATTCATGTAAGTAAATTTGAGATTATCAATGAAACTCGAAGTTTAAAAATCTATCTGGTGATAATGATAACAGGGATGTATTTATATGGACCCTTTTTTTTCCAACATTACATTCTGGTCTTGCAGACTGATAAGCAATTATCTTCTGACCCGCACTACTCGTCGTCTTAGTTTCAAATTGAATTTAAAAACGCTTTCTTGTGTTTGTTGATACACTGGTATTTACTGTTCTTTTAGTTCTTAAATTGCTTTTTTACCTCAATTTGCACTTCTTCATTAATCTTCCCACTAGGACTGTGTTGTCCAAGAGAAGATTGTCATGTTGGTGTTTTCTCGTGAACTTTTGTATTTCTTTATCCTCTGCTTCAACTTTCAGGTCCATGTATAGATCCTTATTTCTTATATACAAGGTGCTTTACCCATATTTCTTAGCACTTTGTTCAGAAATCTTTGGAAAATATCGATGTTACTCTGCTTGGTACATCCTAGAGTTGTGCACCAACGTCCATACTGGTTTGAATATTTGTTTGTAAAGTAATATTTTATTGCATATTGAAAGCAAGAACAACATTTAGTTCATTTTTACTCTATTTGATATTTAATTCTTCTCTATTTTTCTTTATTTGTTGTTTCCATTGCAACGTACAATCCTATGTCATACCAACATGTTTAGCTGCTTTTGCATATGGTAGCATTTGCTTGTTTTAATAAATTGGAATGTGTTCAGTATGACTGTTTTTGAAGGCCATATGAACACTTACTTTAATTTAATTTGATATTGTAATTATTGCTCATTTTGTAGAAGTGTTATTGGTAACTGTAGCTTCCAAGTTGCTTTTTCGTATTGTTAAAATTGTAGTGTCGTCGGCAGATGTTTCTTTGACTCTGTTTTTTGCTTTAGGGAGGTCACTGGTATAAAGCAGATATAGTATTTGTTTCAATACACTTTCTTGTAGTACACCTTCCTTAATTTCTTTCAGTGGCATATAGGCATCGTCTTGATGAACTCATAAGTACCTGTTAGTTAAGTAAGATTCTAAAAAGATTTGCATATTGTTTGGGAAGAACAGTCATCAACTTATGGTTTGAACGCGTGCCAGACTTTGTCCAAGAAGATTGCAGAACAAATTTTTCTTTCTATAAATGATTTTTCTAAGCCAGTGCATAATCTGTGCACCTGACCCATTGGGGAGAGTTTTATTCTGAATCCTTACTGACGTTCTGATATTAACGTTTGGCCCCTAATTGGTTTCATTCTTTGGAGCAACAATTTTTCTAAACATTTAGCCAAGATAGGTAACATTGAGATATATCTGTACGATGTAGACTCATTTGCTGGTTTTCGTGATTTCAGTACCATTATTGTTTCTGCCATGTCCAAAAATAATCTTTTATTATTAATAATTAATAAAAAAGTTTAAAAGATGTTCCTTTTTCTAGTAAATTCTTCTATGCAGTAGGTACATTTTGCCTAGATACACCTAATTGTCCTAAAGCATCTGGCTGATTTTGGTCGTTTTGCAATAGAGTAACAATTTGTTCAGATTTCGGTGAAAACTTGGACAAAGTTGAAAGCACAAAACCACTGCTCGACAAGATTGACTAATTGTAAACCAACGCATATGCAAAATCCATACAAATTCAGACTTATACAAACACTTTGAAACATACACATCTGCATATGCATTGTAACATGTTATTTTACCTTCTGAGAGTTATTTACTTTTTGCGAAGGGTTGGTTGGTAGTCCAACCCGAGGAGGTTTTTTCACGTACTCATAATGCTCACAGGATTAAGTACGGTTCAAATCAGATGACAACTATGGCAAAGAGTAAAGGCAAACCCAAATGGATTATGAAATCTCTGCCTATTGGAGCATGGAACGTTAGAGGCATGACCAGCAAAGAAATAGTTGGAATCAGAATTTATAAATATGAATATAGATATAGCAATAATCTGAGAATCAAAGAAGAAATTAAGAGGCACAAAGATATGGAACATTATATACTACTTTATGCTTAATGCTTGAATTGGAATATTAAAGAGATAGTGGGAACCAATGGACGTTTGCCAAAGCCCAAAGAGGGATATTTCAGAACTGATCTATTTCATGTAGGCAGTATATGGAAATTATATTGCCAAGTTTGTTACAAAAGTTAGATCACAAAGCAATGAGCCTGGTTGTTGAAACGGAATGGGAAGACTTAAAGGGAATGATTAGGCAAGCAGCTTTTGAATCTTTTGGACATCATCGTAAGAGATGAAAGATAATCGAAAGGGGCTATTCATCTGGAATCTCAACACCTGCTGGACAACACATCAAATACCTAATGCTTGGAAAGAAGTAATTATTTGTCCTATTTTTAAGAAAGGCATCAGTTTAATAGAGGTCGCTCATGTGCAGACTGTGTCTTCATGATTAATCAAATTATACAGATACACAGAGAATTCAACCATTGTACTTATTGCTGTTTATCAATTATAATAAAGCCTATGATAAAATAAAGAGACGAAAACTACTGGCAATAATGAATGATAAAAGCTATTCTGAACATCTGACTAAGATGATACAAGAAATGTATTGATATACTTTCATTAAAATCAGTGCAACTAGCAATATTTTTTCTAGCCTATACTGAGGAGAACATCAAGGGTGCTCACTTTCCCCAAATTTATTTTATACATATATATGTTTTATATAAGTTTATAAATCCATACACATCCACATGTATTGTTCCAGTACAGTACAGATGCTGACATTCAAGAATGGTGAAGGGATCTGTAATTTTTTTAGGACGTTGGGGTCACTAGATAGCCCAAACAGCTCAATATTGCTTGATATTAAGTCATATTTACTTCATTGAAAATATGAAATTCCTCCAATTGCATCCCCTTTACACCTGGAGTGAGTACTGGATGACAATCCTTATTACTGAATTGTTTTAGTAATTCTTCTGTGAATGCTTCCTGATCTAGAATAAAACCATATTCACCTCTTGTAATTTTGATCCTGAAAAAAAAAGCATTGATTTTACCGTTCATTGTCTTTATGATTAATGGAGTTTTAAGATTAACAGTTCATTTATGACTGAAAAATCTTTACCAATAATTACACAATCATCAACGTAGAATCGTATGGCCAGAAATTGTTTTACTCTCTACATTTACATTTACGCATGGGTCCATTGTACACATTCTAAACTATTTTAGTGTGTTAGAAATCTATCGTAAGGAATGTTCGAAATGTTTCATATCTCATTACAGGGAAATAAGCAGAATTATAATCTATTCTGTTTACCTGTCTGGAGCCATCTACTTTTAAGCTGGCTTTGAACGTAGTGTTATTATCACTGAATTTCTATTTAAATATCCTCTTTTTAGAATTCTCTCATTGTTAACACTCTCTCGGTCCATTACTTTCCACGGGTCATAATTTTGAAGACCATTTAGTTCCTTTTGTATTGCTTGTTTTCCCATTCTTCCTTATCTTTACCATTAACAGCTTCACAAGTTTCTTGGAACTGTTTCTTGCGTACAAAATTTGCTGCCCTATTGTATATTACTATAGGATGTATCACTATCAGTATTATGTATCTATTACCTCTGAATGATTCTACAGGTATTGAGCCACAAAGATCCAGGTGCAATCTTTCCAGTACATGCGTTCTTGTGTCATCCACAAACTTAAATGAAAGTCTTGTAAATTTCCCCAGTAAACAGCTTTCTCGGCGTTCATTTTTGAGGATGAAATCTCCCAATACTCTTACCATTTCTTTACATGTTATTGAAATATCCATATTTAAAATGCCCCAGTATGCAGTGCCAAAAATTGTAAACTTTCTCATTTGATTTTAAAGAAACCTCAGTAGTAACCCCGTCGAGGTGGGTCTGTTCACGTCCTGACGGGGAGATGCAGGGAGGGCTCTCACGTATTCCTTTCTTTCACCAGTCATCTTCATCTGCCCCAACGTTCATTCTCGTCCTTTGATAACATCATCTTTCCTTTCTTCTACTTCTATTTCACTCAACCCTTCTCCTTGAGATTGACTTGAATCGCGCGCATTTCCATGACGCAGCTGCGTGCGTCGGGGCTGGTTCGATTCAGTGGGCGGTGGCGAAGGGAAGGCTGCGTATGCCACGAGGAGCGCTGCTTTGCATCGAACTGCGCGCTCATTGGGAGAGCTGGGGTTGGGACTCCCAAGGGGCGGCCGAGGGTGGTCGCGTGCGCCAAACGGTAGAAATACTTACGTCTTCCTCAGAGATGGCGAAATGCCTTTTATAATGTTAATAAAATATTTTGTTTTCGAGGTCCCGATAGACAAGACCTTTGTTCCGCTTTAATAGGGAGAAATAAACATAGTACGTTTTCAAAACGTCCGTCCATCGGTTTGCCCGTCTGTCTGGTATATGAGAACAACACTAGCGCCTAAACTATACGTGGTTTTTTTCCAAACCGAATAAACCTTTGTCGATCTGGCCTGACTTGAAGTTCTGCGATTTTGAAAAACATTATTTAATATTTGGGAACACTTCATGTCATGTCCGGGTGACATTTTCAATTTTTTAAAATCGCTTAAAATCTTTAAATTAATTGTAAGAAGAGCAAACTGCAGTTATTAAGGAAACAAAAGTAAGATTTTCACTGTTAACTCTGAATGTTTAAAAATTGCAAAAGTTTGATTTTTTTGCGTTTTTTCATACCAAATTGAAATTAAAGATTTTTCTTTCAAGTTAATTTTTTCTCCGTAATTAGTTCTTTCATTAAGGTCGTGTACATCATTAAGGTTTTCTCTCATGACTTTTCTTTTGTTGGCAGGTGGCAGAGAATCTCTTGATGTGATTGGGAATTCAGCGTTGATAGTGCCGACGCAACAGCAACATGTTACGTGTTGGCCCTGTAAGTTGTCTCCAGAGCTGGCTGAGGGATGTGATTCATTGCCATCTAAACATTCGATGAAAGAAAATGAAAAAGCAGATGGTGTAGGTAGCAAAGCATACATGGGACCCCAGGATGTGGCTGATGATGAGACAGTTGAAATGAATGTGAGAACAGCATCTCCTCTTAAACAAAACTCTAATGTCGGCTTTGGTAAGTAAAATAACATATGTACATTTTTTATCACCAAAAAATCTTTTTGTAATATGATTTTGTCAATATCGGTTTTTGAGAAAATCTCGTTTTTAATATTGTGTGTTTCATTAAAAATTACAATATTTTAAAATGTAGCACATCACATTAATTAAAAAAGTAAATGTGGAGAACAATTATCTCAATGTTATGAAATTAATAATAAAATAATTATGAAACTCTCAATGTTGAATATTGTAGTTGTAAGATGCCGACAACTAAAACATTCGCAGTTTTCGGTATTTTAGGGGTAACAATGAAATCCGGATTTAAGCAATCTTTATTAATACATCTCGAGGAGGGCAATCCTAACAATCAGGGTGACTGGCAAGGTGTAGTTTTCGGAAGTGAGGTGGAGATATCAGGTAAAACACGCCATGGACGTGTCATGAACCTCGTCTAGTTTTCTGAATCAGCCCACGAAAGCAGCAAACGTTCAAACGTTCGTTTTGTTAGAATTTTTACGTCATTTTTCTTCTTTTTTTATGGAGTCGATGCCTTACGTGACGAGACTCAGGCTATGATGCGTGCTCTTCCGTCTGAACACGCAATTTTCGCTACGCTCCTTTCATTAACTAGCGGAGAGAGGTATTTCTTGAACGACGAAGTAGGCAATTCGAATTTAGCTCAGAGGCTTTATTTACTTGTGAGGGTATTTTACATGCAGGAAATTACTTCCATTGGACTGCCGGCTTTACCCTGCCCTACCGAAAGAATGCTTAAGAAGGATTTTTTTTACCCTTAAAAGTCAATGGCTTCGATCGGGTTTGAACGCGAACATGGGTGTAACAGTCCAAAACGCTAACCTTTGTACCACCTCCGCTGCATTTAGGGCATTTTGAAAACATTTTAAGATCATTTTTTTAAATAATTTTTACTTTTTCGTATACGCACGTATATATGGATTAATAGACGTAATATGTAGAGGGTCTGGGGAGGAAATGTCGAATAAGCTCTTAAGACAATTTGAGGCATCTTTTGTCTAATAAACTACGTGGATATTCCGAATAGTTGAAGCGCAATAAGCACTCAATGTTTTGAAAAATTGCTTTTTATGCAAAAAATTGCATTGTAGAAGCATATAAGCTCTTTCGAAACGTGTAAATGGTTTATTATATACAAAAAAAATTAATCTTTGTTCGGAAAGAAAAATGAACAAATGAAAAATAAAAAAGCAGTCGTATTGTGTAACATGGGTACTTTTTTATTCTTGTGGTAATGCTTCTTTCTGAACAAATATATTAATTTCTCTTATAAAAAATAAACAATTTACATTGTTCTGGAAAGTTTATATGTCTCTGCAATGCAAATTTTTGCCTAGAAAACAATTTTTCAAACCAACTTTCGAGTGCTTATTGCGGCTTAACCATTCGGAATATCCACCTAGTTTCGACAGAATATGCTTAAAATTGTCTGAAGAGCTTATTTACGTACTTTCGACGTTTCCTCCCCGGACACTCTGTAGAGAAAGTTATGTAATGCTGCGGAAAGTCAATTTCGAAATTTCAAAGGAAATGCACGTTTTGGGATCCCCTCAGTCCAGAAAAGTGACTTTCAAAACGTCCGTCCATATCTGTCTGTGTTTGTGAACAACACTGGCGCATAATCCATGTGTAATATTTTTTAGGAACCCTGGCCATTTGGCCTGAGTTGACGCTCTGCAATTTTGTAAAACATTCATTAGTTTTTGGGGGGTACTTAACATGATGCCCTTGGGTCTTTTATAAAATTTACCATAAAAAGGCTTCATATGTTTTCTTCATTATTATTCTGAAAATAGAGTGAAATACTCGTATAAAAATCGCATAGGTCTGTTTTTCACTGTGATTCTGAATTTTCGAAAATTGATAAGTGATTTTTTTGGGGGGGAGGGCACCTTCCTATAACTACAGTATTGAAGATAGAGATTTTCCTGAAAATGAAATTTGTTGTCCATTTGTATTCTTTCATTAAGGAAAAACCTAAGTTTACTGTGAAAATGACCACAAATTTCCCCATATTCGGGAACGTTCTAACGCTATTTTACAGTGTTTAATATGATATAAAGTTAATTTGGGGGTGTTGTGTTTTTTCAAACGTTACACTAATGTCATTTTTTTAATCTCTCACGCCTTTAATGCGCTCATTTCCAGCGAGTTGTAAAAACTATTGCATTTATGCGTTTTAGTGCTTCAAATCGAAAACTCAAAAAATGTTCTGTGAAAAAGAGCTTCCGACTCGGATTTATGCTTGAACGCAATTTTCTTAAAAACGGCTACAAATTTGTCAGATATTGACCATTTAGGATGTTCTACTCTTCGTTAATATTCTTAAGTAATATTTCGGTTAAGAGTATCTGGTTTGGGATCAAGGCAAACAACGGAAACAAAATAAAGTGTTAAGTTCAACCAAAACAAGATTATTAACACTGCTTTCTGCAGTTCCAGAATCGTTGAACAAAACAAAAAGCCGTTTTGCGAAATAACCAGATGTACCATGGAATAGCCGCGTCAAATAATCCGCGTCAGCCCCAAAATCCCACGTGCAGAGTTGTTATACAATGACAATATCCTTAACTGAACTGCTGGGCTCGGCTATCGCTCTCAAAAGTATTAAAATGCCTCGTCGGCGACGCCCCGCTCCGGCGCCTGTGGGGGAGGGGAGTCTGCCTCGCCGCTGCCTCGCTGCTCTCGTGCGGCGAGCTTCTAAGCTAGTGGCGGGCAACTAGTCTGAACGCCTCTACATGCGGCTTGTCCCAGACCGAAAACAATAGAAACTAACACGAGAAAATGTGTACCATTCTGTTGAATCACTAGCTGGTAATGTGTTAGGTCATAATAATGCAATTAAAAGTAGTGTGCTTGCACGCAGACCCAAATTGCCAAAAAATCGAAGTGACTAAAGAAATTAAAAAGTCTTGCTGCCTTGGTGGATATATTGTACATGACGAGAAGCCATCAATTTTCTTTTATAGATTCCTTTTAAACAAATTGTTTGCTTGAATTTGCAAATAATTGCGGTTCCCGTGATGGGGATTGTTCTGTATGTGCTAGGGGGTCGTCCATACATCACGTAAAGTTACAGAGCGGGAGGAACCGATCTACATACTAGAATTCAATTACATTGATGTAGTAGACTCGCCCATGCAAAATGGATCCACAACGGCGCGTGCAGAGCTTTCTCGTCTATGCGTCGCCCCATAAATTGTGCCCGACATATCTGTTCGGTTCAGTCACATCGCCAAATAATTTTCACTTGAAAAATTTATATTCAGCCCAAAATTAATACCACTGATTTAACTGCTAGTTTTTTTTTATAGTTATGCTATGTTATTTAAATAGTTGCGTCGCAAACGTTACGTCATTATTTATGACATTATTTAGACGTAGTCAAAGTATTCCAAATTTGCGTTACGTAATTTATGTTCAACCTCCTTACCAATCGCTTTCATCCAATCGCCAATCGCATTATCATCGCAGCTAGTTTGCGCATGTTCTCTCATTTCTGGACGTGGAGTTGAAATGAGAGAGGGATCAGGAGTGGCACTTGACGTAGGGTAACGGCTTCTTAGGGCGCATCTTGATTCGCCGGGAGGAATATGTTTATTTTCCGTTGAACCAGCAAAGAGAGAACGGCTAGTCAGTACATGGTATTCGTCGTAATTAAAGCTTACAAAGTCATGTTTAGACGAGTGTTAGACGAGTATCTAAGTCACGTGTGTTTGTTGTGCTTGGCAGAGAACATCCTGGCTGATGAACAGCAGCCGAAGCAGATAAGCGGTGAGCGACGGCGGGGGCGGCGTCGCCCGCGCGAGAGCAGCCCTTCCCTGGCGCCTTCGGAGCTGCCGGAGATTTCCACCCCGTCAGGCGGCCGTCGGAAGCGCAGGTCCACGGGAGAGCGACCACATCCCTGTACCGTGTGTGGAAAGGCGTTCATTACTTCTCGCAACCTCAACATTCACAAGCGCACCCACAAGAGAGATAGCCCTCATCAATGCGATGTGTGCAGAAAGGCTTCCACTCAGTCTCAACACCTCATCACTCACAAACGCACTCATACAAGAGAACGCCCTCATCAATGCGACGTGTGCGAAAAGGCCTTCTATCATCAATGCGATCTCATTAGGCACATGCACATCCACACGGGAGAACGCCCTCATCAATGCGACGTGTGCGGAAGGGCTTTCGTTACGTCTGGCAACCTCAAAATTCACAAGCGCATCCACACGGGAGAACGCCCTCATAAATGCGACGTGTGCGGAAAGGCTTTCGCTAAGTCTGATCACCTCA